GGTGTCAGAACAGTGTGTTGCAGTTTGCTGAGTATGGGGTTGCATAGCCGCAGAATGCCAATAATGACCCATGTCCACCGCCGGAAGTGACTACAATGGGCATGTGATCATCAGAATTGGACCATGGAGCAATTCAAGAAGGTTGCCTGGTCTGATGAATCATTTCTTTTAGATCAGGTGGATAGCTGGGTTTGTGGGCGTTGTTACCTGGGGAAGAGATGGCAACAGGATGCACTATACAGGGTTTCTGCAGGTTTTATGAAGGTAAATTTAAGACTTTTTAAAAGACCACAAGTAAAGAAAAAAGTATTCCGCATTTTTGTCAACATGCATTTACTGGAGACTCAAAATGACATAGGAAGATAAGAAAAGATCATAATAATTTTTTTTGAGAAATGTATCAAATATAATGAACTCAGGAAGCATCACCATGAATCAATCAAGAAATAACATCCTTAAAACAAGAACACATGTCTGCCAGTGGGTCAGAAAAATTATCTTGTTTTCTTTTTGAATTAAGCTTGTTTTTCTGACTTTTCTGGCAGATATTTATTCTTGTTATAATCATAAACTCACTTAATTTTGCATCTCAAGCAAATTTATCTTGATTTAAGAATGTTTAGATATTTGTATTAGAAAACAAGACAAAATACTGAATATATATATATATATATTTTTTTTTTTTGCATTGCATTGCATGCAACATTTAATGCCATGACTTTTGAGTCGTTCTGCTCTGATTAAAGACCTTTTTAAGAACTTAATTTGTGGAAGGGTCAATTAAGACATTTTAAGACCTTTTTTAAAAAAAACTGGGAATGAGGTAGAAGGCCAGTGGAGCAGTGTTATGCTCTGCTGGGAAACCTTGGGTCCTGACCTTCAAGTGAATGTTACTTTGACATGCATCACCTACCTAAAGATTGTTTTTAAAAAAAATTTTATACGTACAACCCTTTATGGCAGTGGTGTTCCCTGATGGCAGTGGCCTCTTTCAGCAGGGTAATGCACCCTGCCACGCTGCAAAAATTGTTAAGGAATGGTTTGAGGAACATGACAAAGAGTTCAATGTGTTGCCTTGGCCTCCAAATTCCCCAGATCTCAATCCGATTGAGCATCTATGGGATGGGGACCAACAGATTCAGTCGGCTCCACCTCACAACCTGCAGGACTTAAAGGATCTGCTGCTAACATCTTGGTGCCAGATATCACAGGACACATTAGATACATCAGAGCTGTTTGGGAAGCACATGGGGGACACACATGATATTAGGCAGGTAGTTTTAATGTTGTGGCTAATCAGTGTAAATGAGATATTTATACACCAAAGACTTTATTAAGTTTATTTTTTTTAATTATTTGGAACATTTTTTCCCCCTTATGTGGTAGAAATGGGCTTCCATACAAATCCCAGCTTACCTGGTAGAGACACCTTGGACTGATGTCACTTCCTGTGTTGTTATATATTTTGTACATTTTAACTACTTTTATTTTGTACCTGAATAAAACAAATACAGGTTATGAAAGCTGAGGACATCAAAGTAAAACATGCACTGATAAAACAGACAACAAGACCTTTAAGGTAATATGTGATGTAAGCTTTACTTTCAAAATCCTGTTACATTTAGAACTGGCAATTTGAACATAAAGAATGCAAAACCAAGAAAAACAAAATACAAAACAAAATAAAAAGTACAAATGATCTAATTACCAGTTATTGTCACAATCAACCCTGTACAGCCTTAACAATGAAGTAATAAAAAAGCTTTATACAGCACATAACAAGTTTACTGGGTGCCAAATAAGAAAGAAACAAAATGATACTTGAGCCTTATTGAGTTGTAGAGTACAGCAAGCGATAAAGCAAATAGATTGTGCAGAATAACCCGCAAAGCTAAATGCAAAACGAGTTGGTCTTTTTTTTTTCGGACCAAAAAAAAGTAAGTGCTACAAACTAGAGATCAAGAGCAATTTCATGCATCTTTTGAAGTGCTAAAAAGGTAGTCAGTCTTGTTTAATGCGCAATGACGCTAAAACAAAAAATGCTGCTCCTTGCGATTAGGCAAACAGAATGCTAAGTATTAAGTATTTATAAATACTGGTATTGGAACTGGGAGCGATCCCTGTTGCACTCCTCTTGCCCACACAACTGAGCATCGAAGAGCAGCAGCCATGTTCTTCTACATGATGAATACATGGTGTTCCAAGGCAGACGGACAAAAGGATGTTGCCCAATGGACATTCCATTTGAATTCATTCTATCAAAACGGGTCCTGAGGATCAGTTTCACTTTATCTCAGGCTCTCGGGCCACTCCTTGCCACCAAGTGGCACTAGAGCATAAAAGATAATTGGTTGAGCAGGAGCTTTATTAACAAGCAAAGAAGCTCCACTTAAAATACAACATACCACTAGACTGCATGCTGGGCATCTACATGAAGAAAACTAAATGATACCATGAGAGCAAAGAATACAAGTATAAAATAAGGATACTATGCGGGGCCAAGAAACTGTCTACCATATTTTAATGGCTCTATTTCTAGGCTGCATTTCATTTCTAAACTGGCCTTAAATACAGAATTTGTTTCATCTGAATCCTCTCAATGGGCAAGTTAGAGAGAGGAGAACAAACTTAAGAAGAATTATCTCTTTGCAGTTCAAGGTTGACCTATCAAAGTAATGCTGCTACTTGTTTCCTTTTAAAATATCTAAGGTCAGCTGCATTCGAAAATTTTTGTGTACCTGCCTCGACTTATCTTAACAGGCCACGTTTTTATCCTTGTCCCTTATCTGCTATTCTCGCATGAATGAAGGCGGGAGAGCATTCTACATCTATGATGGATAACATTGAAATTATTGATCAGATCCTGTTGGCTGGACAAAATATGGACTGCAGTTTTGTTCAAATGCATCTATCATCAAAGAATTTTAGGACCTCAAGTTTGAGCTTTGCACATGTTTTTCATGACATTCTAAGGAGAATTGGTTTATTTAGACCAACATATTAGCCAAGCTAATTAATCAACCAGTACTTGGTCATATTGAGCTTATGGGCATCAGCCGATTGGTGTTTGGTTACTAAACCAAACACATGCTAAATTACTCTTTTAGCACCAATTAAAGTTTCCTACATTCTAAATTCTTAAAATAAATCCATCTATCCAGTAACTAAGCAATGTGCTCATCAAAAATCAATGTTACCACCAATGTTACAGTTTATCTGTTTTGAACATGAATTCAACTGTATTTGGATCAAAAATTATTTATTCAGAGCTCGCTAACATAATGGGCAGTAAAGCTTATGGATGTCTTCCATTTTAGAGCATTGAATAGAATTGCGTTCTGATACTTTGTTTAGAAAAGTGCAATTTTTACAGCACTGTGCAAAACTGCTGTTAAAAATTTAGCCTGGCCCTTTGGTGTCCAGGGTGGATTTTGAACTCAGCTGTCTGTATTACACATGCCATACGATCCATCAAAACAAAGCAGTCTGCTGTTTGGCAAATACCTACAGGAAAAGGCTTAGAATTTGTGTGGTCATCCACTGTAGCAGACAAAAAAAAAACAATAAAGAAAAAATTACTTAAGTAGCATTGAGGCTGTTTGACGAGGCAGTCGAAATAATTGGCATCAAGAACGTTTTCTATTGGGTGTAAGTGCTTTTTTTTTTTTTTACATTTCAAAATTTTAAGTGCAATTAAAACTCAAAACACCGAGAGGGGAACACAAAATTATGGTACCATGTTTGCCCACATATGGAAAGCCATGCTTCCAAAGATCCTAGTCAAAATAATGGCTGCCTCCACATTGCACTTGAGAGCCATTTTCCAATGGGGTTCTCATAATAGCTTGTTAGTACAGGATATATTTTATATATATATTTGTATTTTACATTTCAAAGGCTCTTTCAAATTAAAAGTAATAATAATAATAAAAAACAACTAGAAGAACACAGAAGGCCACCGAGATACCATTGTTTTTCCATGATCTCACTTACCACAATCCAGCTACCTCTGTATCATTTTAACATTAACCAACAGAAAGTACATTCATTCAAGTCATTTTGGAACAGGTTTTTTTTTTTTTTTTACACACAAAATTACAAAAAAGCTCCAAAAAGCACCATTGAATCGGCCTTCGTAACAGAATAATTGGGTCTTTCCCAAAAACCTGTCACCTCATACATCTCGTTAAACGTACAGGTGCGCATTATATACGTCAGCTATGCACAGGGCGCTTGACTGGTCACTTATATCTCATGCCTACCGGATACGGCCAGCCCACCTCGGTCAGCTATGGCACAATCTGTAGCGACCAAAAGTATGGTGAAGATATTGAAGGGCGGTATCATGGTTTGACGATCACTGCAGTAGTAGTAATGATTGCTTTTGCCATTAGCATGCCCTGAATGGCTTGTATTAAGAAGCACATCAGCTGCACCTCGCAGGTGTCGTAAAGGGCCTTATGCTTGTTGCTGAGGCAAGATTAAAATTTGCAAATAGACTCACCATTCAGCAAAACCAGTCAATGCCAACAGGCATGGGGGAGAAGAGAAAAGAAAGACTACAAAACTATGTACAGCTTGATAAATTAACAAGTGCGTGGTCTGAGGCTTTGCTTTGGAAACAAGACTCAAAAGATAACAATTAGTTTAATTGGTTTTTGTTGTGCCATATACTGTATGCCCCAATATATTTCATACTGAGCCCCTAAATGACTGCAACACATAGCGAACATGCTTTCGGATTCCTGACAAAATGCACAAAAAAAGCTTAGCGCTTGCAAGCTTATATGTTCTGTTTCCTTTCGCCCATCAAAATGAATACAAAACTTGTAATAGATAAAGCACTGTTATCGGATTCCGGGTCATTCACAATTTGTAGAGGAAAACAACTGTTGTAAGACCTCTTAAAAAAAGAGCTACGATTTGATTGCGATAGAACAGAAATCAAACTTCTTTGAGCATGAATAGCTTTTCCTCTGATAAATGGATGTTTTATTATCATTACTACTCTTTAGGGCAGTATTTTAGTCTGCCTGTGGAACAGTTAGTGGCTTCGGTGGCTGATGATACAGGGCAACGGCGGGTGAAGGAGAAGAAAGGACGAGGATGGTCAAATGGTCTTAGCTCTCTCTGTCAATCCCAGGTATGCCAGGAAGGAGTGTTTGAATGACGTGGGAGAGGGCGGCGACTGCGAGGACGAGTTGGACCAGAATGCCGAGAAGGGCAGAAAGGAGTTTGAGGGCGAGGGGCTGTGGAATGTGAAGCGGCGGGCCGTAAAGAGCGTGGTGAGGGGGATGAGGTGAGCCAGGTCACAGTTCCTGTACTGTTCCAAGTAGCGGGTCGCCAGTGTGGAGAACGTGCCGTTGGCCGAGAGGTAGCGCGTGGTAGGGGTGCCATCTTGCCGCTTGGTGGTGATTGACAGGGCGACGGACTGCAAGGCTTGAGAGGCGGACAGGTTCATGAGCGGACTGGTGCTCCCGCTATCACTGCTGCTCCCTCCTCGATCCAAAAGGCCCAGACGTGGCGTACCTGGCCGAGCCTCACCTTCCTCGGCGCTCCCCTCCCCGCCTTGGTGCTTTTTAATGTGGCGGCTGTAGACGAACGGGTGAGTGGTGGTGAATGGGCACTGGGCACAACCGAAGGTCTGTCTCGGTGCGTGCTTGAGCCGCTTGTGGAGATTGAGATTGTCCTTGCGTTTGCAGCTGTAGCTGCAGCGGTCGCAGTGGAAAGGCCGCTCGCCGGTGTGCACACGCATGTGCTCGATGAGCTTGTTGGCTGTTTTGGAGAGGTAGCCGCATTGCTCGCACTTGTAGTGGTTGCCCAGGCGGTGAGCGCGCGTGTGCCTTTCCAGCTCTGCCTGATTGGCCCACATGGCTTGGCAGATGCGGCAGCGATACTCCATCTTGTAGTGCATCTTCAGGTGGCCCTCCATGGCGGCTGGCCTGTTGGTGGAGTAGATGCATAGAGGGCACCTGGTCAAACAGACATGAGGAGTAGGGTGTAGGACATAGAAATGGAAGACATTTAATGATGCACCTCCTGAGCGAGAAAACACTCTGTTCTCTTAAATGAAATGAAGAACACACAGAATGGACAAAGGGAAGGGATGGAGGAGGCATTTAGTGTGTCTTACCCTCTGTTGTGTATATAAGCTACAGTCTTAGTGTGTAAACACTGCTACATGTGAGAGAGAGGGTGTGTGTGCATACGGCTGTGTGGTTGCGGACAGGTTGGAATGGGAATCAGATGAAGGTAAATGAATAAATGAGTGGCACTTACATTTAAATAGCACCTTTCATCTGCTCAGGGCCCCAAAGCGCTTCACAAACCCTGCAGAACAGAATGACCTCAGAAAGCACACTGTGAAGGGCGCCTCTCTACCTCAACACTGAACTAGAGCGCTATGAAACTCTCTCGCCCTGACTACAAAAACCAAACAAACAAACAAACAAAAAAAAAACCTAAGAAAAATAAAAAGCAAAAGTTCTAAATGTATTTGGTCACTTTTGGGTTTAGTGCTCTACATTTTGAATCTGTATTGTGCAATGACTCTGAACCAAAAATCAGTTCATAATTTGGGAACATTTAGTTTCACCAAGATCAACTGCATGGTTCATTATTTTGAGTGAATAAATGATTAACAAACAGTATATCAGAATAGTAAAGATAAACAGTAAAGATACATTTTTTAAGAAAGTAAACTCCTAGCAGACACTGCACCCAGTCTTGTTTTACAGTAAAAATATCTAAACATACCTAAAACAAAATAAGTTTAATTGAGAAGCAATATGGCACTAAATTGTAAGACTTGTTTTCAGTTTTTTATTTTAAATTTAAAAAGTTTATTTTTGGCACTCCACTGGCAATTTTATTTTTAATTTTTTCTTCATGTTTTAAGCATAAATCTAAAACACTTTTCTGCAATGTTTATGCATGTAACTAGTAGGCAGTATACTACTACTTAAGTATACTGCCTACTATAAATGTTTGTTAAAAAAAAAAAGAAGCTGCTGCTTGTCAAAAGCAAACCATTTCATCTGAGAAATATGAAAGTCATGTTGAGGACTGTCTTATAGGAAAAAAAAATCTCTTTAATATCATAAGCTCTGTAATATTTTGGTATGTCTCAGAACCATTTGAAACTGCAGAAACTGCAACTGAATATTCCATTGAGTTATGAAAAGGCAACCTCTGAGGAGTAACTTTGTCCTATGGGATGTATTTACTGATGCTTTTCTTGGTTACATCTTATATGGGATTATGTAAATAGTATAGAATTAGTAGAGAATCCCCAGCGACTATATGTCTAAAATAAGGACACTTCTAAACTATACAATCCAGTTCTAAACTATGACACCTTGTATGGAATATTCATAAGCAGACATTAATCCAGCCAAACTGGAACCCTGCTGTGGGAGAAAGATCCCGTGAAAAAAAAAAAAAACATGCAGTGATTTGTAAGCAGTCAGCTGTTATACATATACAGTAACATTAAAGCCGACCACACACACTTACACCTCAGAGTCATTGAACCATTACAGATTCCAAATGTAAGAACACAGTCAAAACAGCAATTGTTTAAGATACTGACCAAGAAACACTCTGTGGAAATGCACATTATTGTTTGCTCAAATACTGGGAATACAAAATATTGAATGGAGGATTTTAATTGTTTTTACAGTGTTTTTTATATTAGAGCTAATAAATAAAAAGAGAATATTAAACCATAGATTACATGCTGAGTCCCTTTCAAATAAATTCTCATCTGATAATTTATTTTTTAAAAAGGCACAAAATAGAAAGCCCGCCTTTATTCACAGTCATCTTAAAATCATATTTAAAGGCGTATCATTTTTTTAATTCAACGTTTAATGGCAAATTTAGAAAATTGTCAAATGACACTTCTTGTTCTGCTTTTTATCATAACTGCTAAACAAGACCCCAAGTAAAGGACTGTCTGTACTTCCAACTTAGTTAAATATTGCTACTGATCTAAGTTTATTTGTCCTCCTTTACCTGTGGTAATGGCTAAGCGCTCTAATGAGTGATAACTACACACTATCAAATGTGTCTAGCATGGAAAAGCATAGCCATAAATGACAAGATGAGGCAATGAAATCTGAAATACATGACCTTAAGACATGAATTATGTATGTCAAACAACTAGACAAATACAACAGAAAATATCAAAGGCTGGACTTTGTGTTAAGATCCCCCCCCAAAAAAGAAGCCCCAAAACAAAACAAGATCTCAACTTGGGGTCAGTATGTCTTGTAAGTGTTTGGAAATAGAGTGTCTATTTGCCTTCAGATGAGTATTCATTGTGTTTAAATGTGTTGTTGTAACTGTGGTGGCGGCTATGACAGGCTGAGAAAGAACAGTGTGAACTGTAGCCTAATGGTCTTGGCAGTGGAGCTGCTCAACAGATGGACAAGTGCTGACTGGCTTGTTGTGATTTCTTCAGATATATTTTCACATGCGGGCCCAGACCTTTTGCAGTAATGTCTACCACAGGCTTTCCAAAGGAAGGGTCTCGTTCCTGAAAGTGCCTGTGATTTGTGTGCTCACCTGCATAGAATTAGTGTCCAAATAACAAAGTGGAATTACAAATGATACCTATGGGGAGCCCTGTACTTCCTCAAACACTGATGAGGAAAATAGAAAAAGGCTTTTATTATTCCTCTTGTAAATTAAAGTGTGATTCAGTAAATTGAAGTTTTAAACTTTTTAGCAATGCAATGTCCCAACTGTTTGCCCAAAAATGCAAATAATGGTTATTTACTTACCATGTTGTTCCAAACTCGTATAACATTATTTTTTCCATGGAACATGAAATATGAAATTCCTATCTTTGTAATTACAATGAATAAGACTGTAAATTCTTAAAAAGCTTCAAAAGTATGAAAAAGAACAATAAAAGTGGTCCAAATGACTCATGTGCTATATTCACCTGTAGTCTTCTAAAGCTAAGTAAGGGACAGACCCCATTTGTTATTCACACAAAATCATTCCCTTCAAAAAGCTGTTAACTTGAGAACTGCTACAACCAGATCATGAATCATTCTGATCAGCTTTGTGAAGCAGATGAACTGATTCTTTGACAATATTTAGACTTTCACTACTTCTCTTACGAACTCTCATAATAGGAAAGCTAGGGCATATATCAAGGTCTCCAATGAATAATCACTTAAATTATGCTCTGTTTCTCATAAAAAGATAACGTATGTCTTCAAAAGACTAGGAATACAGTGCACGCTATATGGACAACTTATGATACTTTCATGCCTGTTTTGCATTCTTTTTGAAGCATCCAAAAAAAGTGTCCATTTCTGAGTTTCTTTCTTCTGTTGAACACAAAAGAAGATATTTTGTAGAATGTTGGAAACCAATAATTTGACGGTAGCCATTGACTTCCATAGTATGGATGTCAATGGCTACCATCAACTGTTTAGTTACTTACTAACATTCTTCAAAACATATTCTTTTGTGCTCAACAAAAGAAAGAAACTCATACAGGTTGAATGTGAGTAAATCATGACAGAATTTTAATTTTCAGGTGAACTATCCCTTTAATTGGTGAACTGTTCCTTTAAAAATATTAGCTTTAAAGTGCAGTTATAAGTAGTCAATTCAAATCTCTGACTCTAGAGTTGTGTGCTCACATATGTTTCAGGCACATTCAGGAACTCTGTCTATAAAATGCTTCCACTGTATGCAGCTCCACAGAGAGGTTACCCTGAAGCACTGCTCGATGAACTTAGCTCATTTCTGGAACACGCTCTGTTGTGAATCCTCGACCAGTGCTCCTGGATAGACTCTGTTTAAAGCCTGGGCTGTGTCCTGTCTGAGGGGGTAGGGTGGGGGCGGGTTTTGTGAGGTTGTGGGGAGGCACGTGCTGTACTTGCTTTCCTTACTTGAGCCCTCCAGCGGGGACGGTGTGGCACTTCTTGTGCTCCAGGAGCTGCTCGGGTGTCTTCATGAACTTGTGGCAGACATCGCACTCGAACATGCGCGTGATCAGGTGGATCTGTAGGTGCCGCTCGTACATAGGTCGTGTTTTACATACAAAGTTGCAGAAGACGCATTCAAAGCCTAAGGAAATTGGTCAGGAAGAGAGAGAAAAATGTTGTTATGCTGTTAAGTTGGTTATAAGGAACTGGATTGTCAAAAATTAGACATCTAATCAATTGTATAGCTCAATGATTTTCTTCCAAGGCCACTAATCTAGATTTTGACCCTCTGTAGACCAAGGGACCCACAACCCAGGCCCTTGGCCAACTCAGGGAGCCTGCCATAATTTTTTTTTTCATGGTAAAACTGCATAATAACTTCTGTTAACTTTCCTGAACTACCATTATTACATTATATAATGGTTATGAGAACATTAATGTTTAGTTATTGTGATAATAATTCAGTATTTTTTTTTATCTAGATAGCATTCTAAAGTTTGGGGTAATTTTTTTAATGTTTTTAAAATAAGTCTCTAATGCTCACCAAGGCTACATTTATTTGATCAAAAGTAGTAATATTGTGAAAGTATTCGAAATATATAACAGTACTATTGTGAAATTTTATTAAAATAAAATTTTATTTGAATATATTTCAAAATGTAATTACTCCAGTTTTCAGTGTCAAATGATGAACATGCAGAGTTGCTGCTTATTATTACTACTATCAATGTTGAAAACAGTTGTGCAGCTTAATATTTTTGGGGAAACCGTGATTTTTTTTTCCAGGATTCTTTGATGAATAAAAAGTATTAAAAAAATAAATAAATACAAAAAAAAAATAGCATTTATTTGAAATTTATATATTTTTTGTAATAATGCAAAACTTTTTATTGTCACCTTTGATCGATTAATATATTCTTGCTGAAAAGTATGATTTTATATAAAAAAAAAAATCTTACTGAAGGCAAACTTTTAAAGAGTAGTATATAAAAGCCTCACCTTTCTCTGTTTTTTCCTCTGTTCCTGGGCCTGAGATTGATTGACTGCCCGCAGAAGAAGGCGGGGCCAAAAGGCTTTTTAGTTCTTCGTTACCTTGGGCAACATCTCCACCTTCAGAGCTGTTGAGGGAGTCGCTGAGGGCTGAGAGAGAGGAGGAAGTGCTCTTGGTCTCACTGAGAGGGCTTCTGGAATTGAAACCTGTGTGGGATAAAAGAAAGAAAGAAAGAAAAAGAAAGACATTTTGGGTCACTTCCTGAATATAAGACAAACTCCGTATTTGAATGACATGATGGTATCAAAGACTCGGCTTAGCTTAAGCCATCAGAGAATTAGGTGGGAGCATCTTTCAGAGCTCAAGGTTTGATAATGAATTCTGTAATGAGTAAAGTGAAAGGCAGAAAAATCCTCCAATTGATCAAAATCCACCCAGTGAGCCGGGCTGGAAAATGTATGCTAGAGCAGTGTGGTATTAAGCCTTAAAAGTCGGGAGGCGGGCTCTCTTCCCTAAGAGGCACTCTTGCGGGTTTAGCCTGACTTCTGTATCCAAGCAGCCAGAACACTCAAGCCTGCGCTCTTATTGATCTGCGCTGTGTCTGAGAGCGGCAGGAGAGGGGGGCTGCCTAGGTCAGGGCCGCCACAGCTAAGATGGCGGGAGCATCTCAGGCCACGGCTCTCCCCTAGGGCTCTCATAGCTCACGAAATGGCCGATACCAGCTCTCACGCGCGCTTCACTCACATGTTGAGACTGCCGTTCCTTTGAAAGAACACATGTAGAATACAGAGTAGGTGGTCATGTTTAATCTTTTGTCAGCTTCAATGACATCTTTGAATACAGATGCTCTGTGTGACTCGTATGCGTTATGAAGAGCAGGACTTAATCTCTGTGAGTGAACTTGACGGCCTCTATAAGGCTACTGTACGCGGTGGACGTTGGTCGAAATATCAGGATGAATTAACGCCCAGGTTTAGCCGTACACTTGCAGTGTAAAGCAAAGCATTAGTGATGGAGAGAACAGCTGCCAGGCGGGCACCCAGGTGACAGCCGCAACTCTCAGCCACCTTCCTAAGCAGGAGACAAAGAAGTGCAGGCTGGTAGGCGCTGACCCGAGGTCAGCCAATCTGCAGCAAGGGGTGTCTCTGGAAGGACGCTAAATCGCAGTTGACAACCCAACTTGTTCTTTTGCTGGCACTCTCTGAGTTCACTGTCTTGCTGAAGTGGACTCGAGCTCCGTGGCGTTAGAGTGAGTGTGGGAGACATGACGGTGTTGGGCTACTTGGATGGGTAGTTGTGAGAGACTAGGGATATCGATTTTTCTGCCTCCTTGGGTCTAATAACACCAGGCCTTGCAGTTAAATATAAACTCACACACCCACTCAAATGTGAACCCTCAGTCAGTTCCATGACCGACTAAAAATGAACCCCACGCACAACCTAAAGATTGAGGTGTTTGTCTATAATAACCCTGGCGAGTTTCTGTGTCAACAACATCCACCCAGCGATTCAGACCTTAACGGTGTAATTTCTGCATCACTAGCGCCACCAAATGGAACTTAAAAAAATAACTACGGTTTTCAAACCAGTTGACTTTGTCACCAGTTTTTACGACTTTTCCTACCCCTTTGGTGAAAACTGCCTAGTGACAAATCTAGCAAATCTAAATCTTTCTTGGACAAACCTTATTTAGTTTCTGAGACTCAATGGTATGATGTCATTTAACAACATTTAGCAAGCAGGCTTTAGCTGCTCTCCATTGAAATGTTGTTGGCAACAGTAAAACAGGTTTCCCAATCACTCATACCACTCATTTCCTTAGAACCATGTTCAGTGTTCGGTCAAACAGGAAGTCCTGCCTCAACCCAACTTCTTGCAAGCTGACGAACAGATTTTGAGATTATTTATGCTAAAAGGCCATAATCTTGTAAAAAGTAAATAGAAATACAATAAAATATCTCAAAATATAAAATGCTCCTGACACTCCAGGTCTAGAGTAAAATCTAGTTGTGCAACAAAAATCTAGTACCGATAGCTGAGAAAATGTTTGCGGTTGTGCATTTTGCGTGGTGGCACTACTTAATTACATTTTTCTAATTACACAATCTGTACACTAATTGCATTAATCTGTACACAACAATGAATGAACAAATGAATAAACCTGTTCTTTTTAATGAGTCATTTATAAAGGTTCACAAAACAGTCTGAAACCTGTGAGTGAGTTAACAGTTTGAAACAGACTCACTCAGTCAGTGAATCAATCAAAGCCATTTCACAAGCTGTGAATCAGTTAACAACTGATTCATTCACTGAACCACAAGTCATTTTTGGTTGTCCAATTTTAAATTTGTCAACTACATTTAGTTTTTTGTTTAGTTTATAAATCCAAAATCTTTCATTTTAGGAATTCATGACTCTATCATGACTGTAGTCCTGCATTCAAAATTACAACTTTAGCAGAAGCACTTTGAGTTTCAAAAGAAAAATGCAAATATTATGATGGACTTGCGCCAAAGTTTCCCAAGTGTTTAAAACAACAACCAGAAGGTATGTTAAGCACCTTGCTAAAAAAACGTCTCAGTTCGTATGTAACCCTCAGGGAACGGAGACGTCACGTCGGTAATGACCGACGAATTGGGATCTCAATTCATTACCGATTTGATGTCGAGAGTGACCGACTGAAAGGGAACCAAGCTGCTTTGTACTGGATAGATGCTAGTCTAGCTGGGGAACAAGCACTGGCACGATGTACCCGCAAAATGTAACCAGCATGGTCTTTCTGGAAAAGCTGGTTGACCAAGATAGTCATGCTAGTTCAACTAGTTAAGTGCACACACCAGCATCTAAAACTCAAGATCTCAACAAGTAATGCGTAAAATGTAAGAACGGTGAGATCTTACCTGCGTGCCCTGCACTGATGTGAGCTTTCATCTCAGCCTCGTCCACACCCACATACTCACAGGTGCTACAGCAGAGAGAGAACATCCACTGCTCTTTGTCTACATGAAGAGACATATGTCTGACAAACTGAGCATTAAACTCTGTCTGGAAGCCGCAGACGTGGCAGCTGTAGTAGTAGGGGCAGTTTTTGAGCTCTTGGCCTTCATTGATGACAGCGGTAACAATCTGCTCGGCATCTGTGTTCACCAGTTTGACTGAGTGGATGGTGAGGTGCTGGTTGAGGTTGGCTCGGCACTTAGCCGCGTACAGACACAAATGACACTTATACTTCCTCTCTTCTGCAGAGACAAACAAGAGAGCAATTAGAAAGCAAACAAACAATAGACTCTTTTGTTGATAGATGATGTGTATAAGGTGTCCCGTCTCCTCCTGGCTATTCTGAGATCAGAGGATCTTGAGGTCTCACCGTTCCCACAGGACTTTATATTTATTTATTTGTTTTGTAGTCCAGACTGAGATGCATTTGAATGGACCATGATCAGACGGCTCATTGATGCTCCTCAGAGACCTGCGGGACATGACTGTTCAAGGATCAGGCAAGGCTGGTCATGGTTGTGCTGTGCTCCAGGGGAGCTTAGTGCTAGGGGAGACTTCTTTACAGCTTAGTAATCACTTAGGTACTTTTCCCACCAGGACTAATCAGTAGCCTAATCTCTTTAAAGGAAGGGTAATCTAGTCCAGTGAACCTTATTTACTTACTTAAGGAATTACTTGTCCTAATGACAACATACAATGTTGTTGGACATGTATGTGTACATGTTAAAATATAACATTCAAAAAAGCTTGTTTTTCAGTAACTTTGCTTAACTGTTGTGAACCAGCAGATGACCTTAACCTGGTCAACTGGTAAAAGTTGTTACCCAGGTAATTTAACATTGTAGTTGTGATTATGGATGTATTTGTAAATGTAATACTACAGTGGTCACACAATCAGTTCTGCTGAAAACACCAGCTTACACCAACATAGAAGGTGGAGCAGAAAAAATTAGCTGGTATAGTTGGTTAACCGGCATAGCAAAACTGGTTGAATGTTGTTTGAGAGCATGTATTCTCACCTGTGTGTAGGGAGAGATGCCTGGAGAGAGTCTGTTGGCGACCAAATACTTTGCCACATATAGGGCAGGGAAAGAGCTGTTCGTTGAGTCTCCATTGGGCAAGTCCATTTCCTGGCTCACTACTCACCTTCTCTGGATCTGGATACATAAAAAAAAAATAATAATAAAGTGTGGCCAAGTATGGTGACTCATACTTTGAATTTTTGCTCTGCATTTAACCCATCCAAGTGCACACACACACACACCATGTGCTGCAGCGCCCGGGGAGCAGTTGGGGGTTCAGTGCCTTGCTCAAGGGTCTCACCTCAGTCATGGTATTGAGGGTGGAGAGCGCTGCTTATTCACTCCCCCCACCAACAATTCCTGCTGGACCTGAGACTCGAACACGCAACCTTCGGGTTACAAGTCCAACGCTCTAACCATTAGGCCACGACTGCCCCTAATAATAATTATCAGATATTATACAACAGTTAGTTCTGGTTCTCCAGTCCAACAGCACTGGGAAATTTCACTGTTCGTATCGCTATGCTTGTCTGTGTTCCCAGCGTACAGCGTATAGCACTAGTCAACTAAATGTATGTAACATGGCAAATGAATGCACTTTTGGAAGTTGAATGTAAGGGAAATGTCATTTTGGAATTTCTGTGGTTTAATGTGATATTGTTGTTCATGTATGTTCATGATGAAATTTTATTTTATTGTTGTAATTAATTTATAGCATTAACAAGACTGTTAATGACTGTTAATGTTAAGGAGCAATGACTGATTGAATGTCTTTTTAGTCCAGTGCCTGTATATAAGATTAGTACTGACCAAGAGGCTGTCATATGTGGATCAACTTACTATGTTGTGTATTTTCAACAGTTTCAATATGAAAAATAACTTATATATTGATTCAATGGATTTATTACATTTTGGGAAAAACTAAACGTGTCATGGATTTATTGCATTTTGGGAAAAAAAATCACATTTTATAATAATTTTTAATGTTATTATAACCTTAAGATGCTATGTGAAAGTTTGAAACAGAAAAAAAAGTGGTTTTCATCTTGTCACTTTCTTAAAGAAAACACATTTTTACTCAAATTAATCAAAATGGATTAATAGCGTTTTGGAACCAAACTCTTCATTTAATTTGTCTGAATTCTTGACATATTATACTCTTGTGACACATGGGAACTACTAATTGCAGGTACAACCGAGAAACCAAGAGACACTGAGGTTGGCAAGAGGTCAGTGTGTGTTCTTTCACTGTGTTGGATAATATGTTGATGAGTCTATACATCCAGATCAGGGAGCCAACAAGGTGTTTTTTTATCTTGACATTGGACTGTGTGCTCCTTTTTCACCTTTCATTAGAAGAGCGAGAGAGGGGGAGAAAGAGAGAGAGAGAGAGAGACAGCATGCCACACAAGTGGAGGAGAGCGTCTGAATTAACCTTCTGACGAAGGTGGTTGGCTCGGCGTCAAATTAAAATGCAGCGCCACGCCTTTTCTCTCTCCGGAAGGAGGCAGAGAGAGATAAATAAATGAATAGATAAATAAATAAATATATAAACCGAAGAGAAATTCCGTCATCATGCAACACAGCCCCTTCAAATACTGTAGATGTCTGGTGCAATATGAATGCCTGGCCATAATTCTGTACAAAACAAGAGGCAGAGAGGTTGCCAAATGTTAAGCAATGTTTCTTTAGAAGCCAAAACTGAACAGAAATATGTATACTTATTTTTTTTTTAAAAAGCCTGCGGTTTGCAACTGAAAGGGTTTTAATCATGTCAAGGCATTCAGAGATGCATGTTTTGGGTTTGTAGGTCATATCAATTTTTTTTTTTCTTATGCATGTACCACAGCATTTGATCCTTTCAATAAACATTCAAGGGGCTTTTTTGGATATGCAGCGGGTGTGTGCCCGTCCCTTTGGACTTGTGGTTTGCTCATAAATAGGCACATTTTTTACAAATGCTGTCATAAGCAATGCAGCCTCAGGATTGATGGGGGCATGGCGAGGAAAAGGGGAGCAAGTGGTTGGGGAGAAACAGCATTTTCTTTTTTTTTTCTGGCATATCAGAGAGGATTTAATAGTGGCAATTAAAGAGCAGATGCACTGGCCTTGGATGCAAGACCTGAAGGACATTTTCATGGGGATGCTCGTATCTTCTGCCAGAGACCGAACCCAAAAGTCCTGACGGGAATAGTGTCTCAAAGTGGCCCAATGGGAGGGGTTGTCTGATTTGTCGGTATGCTTCCTGAAGAAGTCACAGGGAATGATGCTAAAAGTGCCCCTTTATTCCTCACAATGGTCTTAGTTGAAAGACGCTTCTGAGTTTAAATATATACATCTACAGGGCAATCTAATGTCAAGCTGTCAATTTCATTGTTATCATGCACAGAGATGCCAAGGTTTTTATTGGTCCTAGAGCAGCTGTTAAAACTAATGTAAGCCATCTATCCTGTGGTAAGTTCTGAAATCCATCATTATTTTAAAAGACATAAGGATAAGTGATGTCTTGCTTGCCTGCTTGATTTTACTGCTGATGTATTACTTACTTCTGAAAAACGAGGCACATTACTTCGGTTTTAAGCCAACAGGGGAAAAAGTAGGGAAATTATGACCCAGAAGAAACTTTTATTGCTCAGACTCTACTCTTTTATAGATCAATGGCGTTCTTGGTTATGTTTTAAATAAGCAACAACTTTTTCTCAGATGTTTCTTAAAATTCTTTCAACACAAATGAGACAATTGCTGATATACAGTTAAACTCCTACACTAAAGTAACGTGAATAGTTTAGCTCAGATAATTTATCCTTGAAAGAATCTGATGAGAAATATTTCAGGAAAAAAGATGATGACGCCGCGTGTAGCTACTGCCGTCACACAAAATCATGTTGGAGGAGATGACAGGTGAAAGCGAGACACTCTAACCGCAACAGAAATAAATAGCTTACCAGTGTGGGAGTTTTTTTGGATTCCATTAAAAAAGCAGGATTTTAGACATCCAAGTTTGCAGGAAGTGCAAAAAGGCAATTTATTATTTTTGTACAATTGCGATTAAAAACTCTCTCCGCCTCCCTAAGCTGGTGTTTGTGATTCATTTGCCAAAAAAGAGAAAACTAAATAAATGAAGTTAAAGATGAATTTGACTGATAGCTTCATTTCGTTTCGATAGATATCATGATAATATTGTCTTTTAAATGCGATAATCATGTAGTGAAAATCTGATATCGTCACAGCCCAACTTTGCAGTGACAATAGAGAATACTGGGGTAGAAAAATCAGAAAAGTACACTCTTAAAAATAAAGGTGCTTCAAAAGGTTCTTCAAGCGATGCCATAGAAGAACCATTTTTGGTTTCAGTTCCATTCAGTCAAAGGTTCTTTAAAGAACCATCTCTTTCTTATCTTTTTATAATCTGAAGAACCTTCTTTCACCACAAAGAACCTTTTGTGAAACAGAAAGGTTCTTCAGATGTTAAAGGTTCTTTATGGAACCATTTGGGCAAAAAGGTTCTTCTATGGCATCGTGAAGCACCTATATTTTTAAGAGTGCAGACTTTAAATTCACCATGTGCACTTCATTTAATCTCAGTTGCTGACTAGGAGAAAACACTGAGATATTTAAGAGATGTCATTTTTTCTTTTTCTTTCTTGTGCTGAGCAATAAACCATCTTGCCCTCATTTGACTTTGAAAAAGATACTTCACCCAAAAAAGTGGACACAGATATTTTTAATTTATCTTCTTCTGTGTTCCGCGAATGGAAGTAAGTGATACAGGTTTGGAACAACACAAGGGTAAGTGAGTTACAAAATAATTTTTGCATAAACTATTGCTTTATCCCCAAGCACCATCTCCTCATACCACTGACACCTTTAAGCACCTGTTGATATCAAATGTACTATTACTGGATGATGTTTTGACCATATTTGAATCTTAAAGACTCAACTTGATTAGTAGTGCCACACTACCAGCATGAATTAGCATCGCTAAACCACATAATTAAACAAGGGTGCCATGTGTGTGCCGTCTCCCAGCCGTCCCCCGCGCTGACCTGCACTGCATAAGAGCTTTAATTAAAACTACAGTGGGTGTTTTGCCCTCTGCTTCAATCTATGAGCGAGTTTAGAAAAGGCAACACACAATCAGACACAGGGCCCTGAATCAGCCTCGTCACCCCACGGTTCCACTGAGTCACACCGCTCATACGAACCTGTGCGTCTGACTCACGGTGTGATGTGGTTGCCGACAGCTCTGGTGTGACACAGAGCCTGGGGACTGCCAGGAAAAAGATGGCACCTTCCCACAATGCCTCAGTGGGGGGACATGAGTGAACAAATGCCTGTGCAATGCTTATGACTATCCCCTAATACCTTCATTTTCTTGTTGTCGATGCAACTCTCTCACCTCTCCTACTGAAAAGACTTGCATCGTTGGAACCAATATATGTTGTGCTTTCAGAACCAGGCTCCTTAACAAACCTAAAGAGATAGTTTACCCAAATCAAACTTCTGTCAACATTTACTCACCCTCATGTAAAACCTGTATGACTTACTTTTTTCTGCTGAAAACAAACAACAACAACAACAAAATAGATGCACTACAGTTTAAAATTTTGGGGTCAGGGGGACAGCAAGATTTTTTTTTTTACATATATATATATTTCATCCGCATATTAGAATGATTTCTGAAGGATCATGTGACACTGAAGACTGGAGTAATTGCTGCTGAAAATTCAGCTTTGCCATCACAGAAATACATTTTTAAATATATAAAAATAGAAAACAGTTATATTAAATATCTTATTATGTTTTCTGTATTTTTGATCAAATAAATGCAGCCTTGGTAAAGATGAAAATACAAAATAAAATAAAATAAAATCTTTCAAACCCCATACTTTTGAATGGTAATCTTTTTTGTAAATACACAAAAGTCAATTGTTTATTTGTACCCCACTGACTTTCACAGAATGGACTAAAAAGTTGTTTGAAGTAGCTTCTTTTATATTCCAGGGTAGTTAATGATTATAGATTTTTTATTTTTGGGTCAACTATCTAGTGTCTTGTTCAGTCAGCTGGATACAGGTTAACAATGCTACATTTCGGGTCAAAATATACAAAGTTCACGACTGCAATAAAAAAATAAGGCACTGAAGTTTAATTGAGACACTAGAGCATCTACATCAATGCCTTGAAGTGGTTAATGGTTTAATTAGTGTTATTAGAGAGAGAAGAGACAGCCTCCGCAGTGATGCTGAAGATGACTCGGGGCAAGAGCAAGGGTAGAAGAGGAGTGTTACACATACCGAACACACAAAGGATGACACAATGAACTTAAGTATTCTCATGCAATTAAGTGAAAAATATAAAAATAAGATGTAAAAGCAGGCAATGCCATTCATCTGATGCAGCCAAGAACAACATAAAAGCAATTTTTATACAGAAATGATCAAATTGGCCATACAGCCACACACGCAAACAAACACTGATTCAGTTTACCTTTTTGGCATAAATACAGAACTATTTTAGAGCAATTCATTATTTTTCAACCACTGGTTGTGCTGTTAAAAATAAAAAAATTGAGCTCTTTGTCTTAACTAAGGAGTGGGAGTTACTACCCACACCGGGTCAGAATGAGTTAGACACTTAGCAATGAAATGCCAAAAAACATGGAGTAAGGGAAAGAATTTGAAAGAGAAAGAGAGAAAGAGATGAAAAAGGTAGACATGGGTCATGGCCGCTCTTATGTGATTTGTGTATGTCCGCTTTGTGTCTGCGCGGAAGAATGAACACATGTCTGAGTGTGTAGTGAATTAACTTTCACGCACCCTGGACACGAAAAACCCAATCATTTTTTCATTAACTGATGTAGGGAATCGGGCCAGGCGAGCACAAACTAATTACCCTTTGCCAGAGGGGCCAGTAGAGGGAAGCAGGGAGTGCCAGCTGCCCAGTGCAGTGGTCTCAAAGCTGGGTGGGAGCACGAGGGGCCTCTGTAGTCTCGCATTAGATGAGAGGGGCGACTTGTATGCATAGATCTATGTAGATGTGAGCAGGGTCCAAAATGAATACCAAATCCGCAAAAAAATTACTTGTGAGTGGACAGCACCTTTGAAAGGAACATAATATAGTGCCTACATTGAATTGTATAAGCTACAATCTGAGTTAATATTTTTTCTCCCGAAGTCTGTCGCAATATATATGTGGGATATTCCTCACATTAAAGCACCAAAACATATATTAAGAACAAATATCATATAATATGCACTCTTTTTATTTAAATATTAAAAATAATGAAATACAGTAAATGGGTTAGAACAGTAAAAAATATTTATGACTGGTAACTTACTCTGCATTAGCAGGTGTGTCATAATGGCAGTTACGGATGCTGAATGTGAGTAAAGAGTAAAGGGTTTTGGCTGGTGAAGAGGAGATAGTCTTACCTTGCTGGGTAACCCTACTTGAAGATCCAGCTTCAGCTGGGGAAGAGCTCTTGGAGCGCGTGCTGAAAGGTGATTGTCTAAAGCGGTCGTCTAGGAAAGGGCTGGAAAATCACAAGCTACAATTAGATTCAATAAATGTGATTCCCTACATTCTGGCAGCATAATAAGCACACAACAGTAAACCTACCTGTGTATACTGAAGGATGCATTGTCTTTGTTTTCATTAGCTTTACTTACTTTTTCTGAAAAAGAAAAACACAATGGAGTTAAAAATAGGCTTGTTTTTGTGTTGTACTAACAAAAATCATATGCCACCAGTAGGTATAATAAGGCAATTACTTGTTAGTAGAACTATTCATTAATAAAGCTGACCATTAATCCATCCCTGATAAAAAGACAATCATTGCTGGTGTCCAGCATATATTGTATTTTGCATGGCGGTAGATTAGAATGCTGTTTTGCCAGTAATGCAAGATCCAGTTTTTCCAAAATTGCTATAAAATTGTTTCCCCCCCCTTTAAAATTCATTTGCCAAACTCAATCATTTCTGGTAATCCTGCTAAATGCAAGATCCAGTTTACCAAAACTGCTATAAAATATTTTTTTCCCACTTTAAAGTTCATTTCTCAAACTCCATAATTTCTAATAAATGCAATGCTTTCAACAATAATAAAACAATAAAAAATGTATAGTCATGAAATTAAATAGTTTTCTTGCTTTAAGCAAAAATCTTGCAAAATGTAGTGAGTTTGCTCTTTGACAATGGGGTAGGAAAAATACTTTTGAATAAATATTAGAATTTAATAAATTCAAGATACATTTCTGAAAAATATATGACACACTTTTACTCAAGTAAATTTACGTTACATATTTCTACTGGAAAATCAGGACAAAAATACTAAATAAGAAAATAATTCTGCCATGCATGCTGACTTAAGACAGTCTTTTCAGCAGGGATTGCAGTGGTTAGATTTTTTTTACCGTGTTTTGCCAAACTGCTTTTAAAAGAGAACAGTGTCTCGTGTCTGTCTGCCTATCTGCCTGTCTTTCTCTCTTCTGGTGGTCTGGTAATGACCTTGCTCCCTGGGTGGCACTTCCTAAGCCCCCTCTCCCTGACACCCTCTCGGTCACACAGCTCACAGAGGATGGAAGGGCTCTCTGCGTTGCCATGACGATGCTGCACAGGAGCAAGAGGGAGAGAGAGAGAGAGAGAGAGAGAGAGACAAGGGAAGTGTGTGCAACCGAGTGTGCTTGAGCCAGAATGTTTGAGAACAATCTGAGGGAGTCGAGGGTTGAGGGGTTATACATACACACTGTGCAGCTACACACCTCTCCCATGGGGTAGGGGGGGAGGTGGAAGGATGCGAATGGTGTGCATGTGAGGTTCGTGTACAGATATATATATATGTGTGTGTGTGTGTGTGTGTGGGGGAGGCTTTTTGTGATCGGCTTCCGAGGTGCTAGATGGCATTTAAAGAGAGCCGTAGCTGGCAGCGAGGAGCGCTGGGGGCAGGTTTGTCTCTGCTAATCCTCAGAACGCTCTCGGAAGAAAAGCTCAATCCTGCCATCATTTAACACCACAAATATCCCTCCACTCTCTAGTGTGTCAGTGCAGCAATCAGAGAAGACGATGAAGAAGAAAACCTGAAGACTGTCGCTGCGGAGAGCGACAGTCCCCCCCTCTGTTTCTTCTGTCATAGAGACTTACCAGACAGTTTGTAAAGCAGCTCAGAGGCCATTTTGACTGATATGTCCTGGGAGAAGAGGTCATTTTGGGGACGGGGCAAAGGATCTGGGAGGTTGACCATTGGTTCCTTCTTCTCACATGCCCCTGAAATGCTGAAGCCCAGTCGATGAGAGGAGGGTGGGGCCAATTCTAGGGGCGGGTCCACTTCCATAGGTTCCGCCTTCACTATGACGTTCTGGTGGCAAGCTTCTTTGTTATTCTCTGAAAATGCAAATTAATGTGAATGTTAATCCATTATAACACTGATTCTAATTAGCAGTGCATTCTAAGAATAGAGATTTCAACACACTTCTAAACTTGATTGTTAAATTTCCGCTTCAGGCAAATATATCAAGTAATGAAAGCTTTTTGCAGAAGTGGCAATCGCCATGAGTATATTTGGTAACTGCCTCAATGGTTTGAACATGTCTGACTTGAGACTAGAGTGGTGTCATTTGTGCATGTGATAGTCAGTGGCAGTCCTGAGGCGAAATTGGCATAAGGTGCTCGGATGCCTCCGGATGATCCTTGAAAAAAGTTACTGTTCTGAATGAGAGTAAGAGAAACTGAGCGGCAAAAAACCCATGAAATTGCCGCAGTAAGTCTGTTTGTCACTTTTGATCAATTTAATGCATTGTTACTGAATAAAAGTATTAATTAAAAAAATAAAAATAAATAAATACATTTAAAAAAAATAAAAAAATCTGACTGACCCAAAAATGTTGAATGGTAGTGTGTATCTTATTTTTACATTTAGAAAATCTCTGCCATCATCTAACACTTACTTAAATAAAAAAATTTTAAACAATCATATGGCAAATCACTTCACTTTATTAATAAGCCATAACATAAACATTTTTATGTTAAGGTCCCATTTTAAGTTATGGGGGTGGGGCTCTCTTGAATTGGACCTGGTAATCACCCACATTTTCTGCATTGTGCAAAACCAAGAAGCAATATTTTGTAACCCATAAGCCCCCTGGCCAAAGGAAGCACAGACGTCAACTCACTGTCATGTGCAACATATTTAAATTTGAGCCTGGTTGTCCATTTTGTGACTCATTTGAGTTTTAAACTGCTACAGAGACAAGGGCATCATTGAGATAAGGCTGTTACCAAAGGCGGTTAAAGTTGAAGCAGATGTCTATAATTTGGCTTTAAAAAAAAATAAAAAAAGGGTTTGAAATCTGGTCAAAATGACTCAGAATGTTTTTTCTTACTCACTGCTCCATAAGCCAAACTCAAAAAGAAAGAGTACAAAAAAGACCTCCCAATACAATAAATTCCTAGTCCATCTTTTTAAAAAAAGTGAACCAGAAGATCTCATTTGGGCCAATCAAAGAAATACCAATCAGATTAAGCCAGTTAACTGATGAGTTTATGTTTTGTTTTTGAATATTTGCAGTTATAAACTGCTGTAGTATAAAGCAGAACATGACAGTGAGGGTTGAACTTGACAGTACATTTACAAACTTCTAAAGGTTTCAAGGACTTCCTGTGGTTAGCCTAAAAAGCATGCAAGTGCCATGACAGGACAAGAAAGACAGACAGTCAGTCAGCTCATAGGAACGCCAGAGTTCTTTTAATGAAAACCAGCTTTTGTAAACTCACTCAGCCTTTCTGATACAGAAAAACAAAGAGGTCCGCTCCCTACGTTTAGACTGGAGAAAAAAGGAGGGTAGAAAAAGTTTAGCCTGTTCCTCTTATCAGATCAGACGTCTGACAGTATGTACAGCTGAGCGGTAGATGGCATATGCTTCTCAAGGGTGACCACGCTTGATCAGACGGCTGGGGAGGGAGGACAAGGGGGTGTAATCATATGAATTTAGTCTGGCCGGAGACGAGGGAGCAGGAGATTGTGGGTAGGCCGGGTGACCTCCACCCCTCCCGTTAACAGCCAGCGTTATTGGGCAGGGGTCTGTTGGAGTGTTGTTGTCTGGCTCTGACCTAGATTGTGTGTGAGTACAGTGTATCTTTACAGTGTCTGAGTGTGTGTGTGTTTGGGGGGTGGGGGGGTCAGTAGTGTGCCCAGGTGTCAGGAGCTGGAGGAGGCAATGGCACTGTGTGTGTGTGTGTGTTTGGGGGGTGGGGGGGTCAGTAGTGTGCCCAGGTGTCAGGAGCTGGAGGAGGCAATGGCACACGGGGACACTGACAACCACTAGCCCGTTAATCCCTTAATAAAGTGCCTGGGGCCAGATTGAGGGCCGGGGTCATTTAGGGGACACACAGTCCCATAACACACACAAACACACACACACAGATCAATGCACTCTCGCCTTGGGTTCAGTGACGTCAGTAACTGCTTTCAAATGCATTTGGACACATGTACGTAAAAAAAAGAGTGATGTAGAGAGCGGGTCACTATGAGGAAGAGAGTGCAACCCTAATCAGCAGTGTTTTGAAAGCATCTAAAATAGCCATTGTGTTAGATATGCAAATTATCATGAGCAAATAAATGTGCAAATGTAGAATGGAAAATACAAACAAACACACACACACACACACTGAAATCGCATGGAGGTTAAACTGAGGCTGACCAGTGCCAACTATCTGTTTAGCCATCTAGTCTATCAAAGATTCCTGCCTGTTAAACCTCTTGTGAGCTCTGAGAGTTATACACCAGTGCAGATTTACGGAAAACAAATAGAAAACACAGGCAAACCGAAGCTGTGGCTTAGTGACTAACGTCTGTGCTACAGATATGTCAAGATTTGGTGCTTATGTGGGAAATGCAGGTTCAAATTCGACCTGCATGATGTCCTGATCCGATTTCCCTGTTTCTTACCAGTGACCATGTTTACATGCACACCAATATGCTGATAACTACCAAAAATCAGCTCATGACATCGGATTACTTGCCAGAAAACTGCCTTTACAAGATGTGACGTCACAATATGATCATTGCAATGTTCAAAAAAGCATTAGAGTGTTCCAAATAGTGTTCCAAAATATCAGGAAATGTGTTCAGAACTCATATTCTCTTATGTTTGCAGTTTCTTTGACTGTACCCCTTCTTTAATATGAGATAAGAACAAATTTTCTATAATTTTCTGGGTCAATAAAGAGTCAGAGTGTATAATATATTTCCTCCTCCTCTACTGCAAAATGCGTAATATGGCTGGATGCGCTTAAATCCACAGTAAAGGACGCTTTCCTGTCACATATCACACATGCGTAGGTTAAGGTGTTTACATGCCAAGCGAAGTCGGGGTAATGGGTAAAAACATAGCTATGTCGAAGGGTTTATGCTTAAAGAAAAATAGTTTCATATGTTTACATGACCACACATGTGAGCGACTTTTTAAGAATAATTGGTTTAAGAACGCATATGTTAACAACATTTCCTGTCTTTGACAACGATAGAAGTGAGAAGGACAAATGTTTCAAATGTGTCAGAGAGCACTTGAGGGTCCCTCATCCCACTATTTTTCTATTTTGTTTGGAAAGGTTGATTTAAACGCACATTCATTTTAAACTTTAACTATACACAAATCTGCTATTACATGGTGATAAAAATAGTCATGTGAAAAGGATGATCCACTTTGTCAGTCTCATTTTGTAAACACTAACAAAAGTGTATGTGCATACTTGAGTGCATTCAGAACTTTCTGACAGAAAATCATTTGCAGATCACTGATTATAGGTTGCAAAAAAAGAAAAACAATTACATTATATTAGGGTAATTATTGGATATTTTTATATCTTTTTCAAGTAAACATTATTATTTCACTTTTTTTTAACAATAATTGAATTGTTCTAATTGTATACAATATCTCAATCATAATGATGATACATATCTCATGGTGACAATATAAAGAGTCAATCAACAGAGATTTTGCTACATGGTTTATACTGCTTTATGCAAATATATTTGCGGTATGTAAATATATTCACGCATTCGCACAAGTTATTGACACGTTAGAGTGAGAAAGAATATATATGCCTAATATTAGGGGTGCTCCGATTGATCGGCTACCGATCACTATCGGCCGATAATCACTTTGGGATGATTGAATGGCGGTCTCTAAAAAGGCCGATCTAAAAAAAACGATCTCAAGCTGATGACGCTGCCGTGAGAGGTTTGGCACGACATGCAGAGGCACCATCTCAGTCTCTGTCCGGCATGGGTGAAATAATTATAATGCTATATTTCTTCATTAAATAACTTATAAAGTAATTTGAAAACCTTGTGTGAGACATAGCTTCACAAACAGCGTGAGTGAATCACTGCGCACGCTCTCTCTCTCTTTCTCTCTCAAAAATACACAAATGGCTTGAAATCACCACATAGCGTCTGTCTATAAGCGAGTTGCACGCTGCACAGTTGACAAAGGAATTGTCACTTGCACAATCGAGGTAGTGTCACATTGTCACTAAAGTTTATAAATTGCATTACTTTTTCATTCTTGCCATTGTTTAACCATTCAGCGCTCGCACGCTCTCCTGAAGACCGTGCGCTCATGCCAGGTTCACATTACTCAGTTTGCAGTGCGTATGCGGTGCGTATTTTTTCCGCGCTTATGTTAACGGATTAAAGCGTTCACTGCACACAGTTGCAGTCCGATAAAGTTTATAAATTGCATTACTTTTTCATTCTTGCCATTGTTTAAACATTCAGCGCTCGCACGCTCTCCTGAAGACCGTGCGCTCATGCCAGGTTCACATTACTCAGTTTGCAGTGCGTATGCGGTGCGTATTTTTTCCGCGCTTATGTTAACGGATTAAAGCGTTCACTGCACACAGTTGCAGTCCGGCAGTGTGTCTGCAGCAGTGCAGAGATCGTTTCGCACCGAGTCTATTGCTGCGCTGCAAGCGCTGAATTAAAGTAACAGCGCATTGTTTTCAGTATGAACATGGATTGACACAAAAATTTTGCAATTACACCATAGATGCATATTATTAAAGTCTACTGTGTTTCACAGTCAACACATATGGCTTTTTGGCTAGGTTTAAAGGGAAAGAGCACTTTTAGATAAACAAGGCAATAATAGATGGCACTTGTGGAGGTAGAAAAACAAAGTTCTTTATGAACAGGCAGGATTTATTACAGGCAAGATTGCTTGTAATAAAGATTTAAATAAAAAAGTAAAGGCAGTAGAGTTGACTATTTCTGTCAATGGTAAGTTTGTGATAACGTAAGTTTAAATGTTTTGCCACTTGCTTGAGCAACTTAATATATAAATCTAGAAGTAAATACAAAAGTAAAAAGCATTGAATAAT